AATGATGCTGAAATAGCAGATGGAAAGAGTGGAGCTACTGGAGTCTACAACAGCAAAACTCTTCTTTCTGTATAAAGGTATGCACTCAAGATCCATGCTTCCCTTCATGCTCCTGCTTTCTCCCCCAAAGAAGAAAACATCCTTCCCCGGTTCTTTACCCCATGCCCCACTGGGATATGCCTGTCCCATAACAAACCGATAACCTCATGTTCCCTGCCCATTTCCTCTTGTCGGCCAACCCAGCACGTCTCTGTGTGGTGCCATTCTGGACTGCATGTCTATATTCCCCATCCCCAACTTGCATTCCTGATGCGTCCGATATCAAGTAGAGTGCCCCAAGGGTCGGTTCTGGGGCCGGTTTTGTTCAATAGTTTCATTAATGATCTGGAGGATGGCGTGGACTGCACTCTCAGCAAGTTTGCAGATGACACTAAACTGGGAGGTATGGTAGATATGCTGGAAGGTAGCGATAGGATACAGAGGGACCTAGACAAATTAGAGGATTGGGCCAAAAGAAATCTGATGAGGTTCAACAAGTCCTGCACTTAGGACAGAAGAATCCCATGCACTACTACAGACTAGGGACTGGCTTTGAGAACCACTGGACTAGATGACCTCCTGAGGTCCTTTCCAACCCTGATATTCTATGATTCTATGTGGCCTGCTTCTTCCTCCCCCAGATAGTTCTCGGACAGAGTGAGCAATTTGGATCCAATAAGGAAGGGAGGCTGGTCACATCAGAACAAGCCAGGGGCGGAGAACTGTTCCTGGCAAAGTGCAGACGTATCGACTCAAGCCTTTCTCCAACCTCGTCTCTTGCCTCATCTTTGATATCAGAAAGCAGAGAGGACCTCAGAACTTGTGCCAAGATAGCTGTCTTTTTACTTCTCCCCCAGTAAGGCATCCAGATGTGAAATGTAGGGATGACGGTAGTTCCTTGTGAATTTAGCCAGCACTCAGGGTATCATGGATTGATGGAAACCTGTGAAAGATTTTGTGATAAAAATTTCAACATGATGAGTTTAGCAGTAGCATTTTATCATGTAAGCAACAGCTACGTGGTTTCCATGGAACCGAAAATACAAAATGCACCAGATAGAATTTAATAAGAGTACCAGGGCTAAAACTCCTGCTTTTGCAAAATAAAATAAAATAAAAATCTGTTGAGGAATCTCTAAAGAAAAAAGGCATTAGGGCCTTGTCTTTGCATCTCCACTGAGAGACGTTCCTTCCAGCAGCACAAGTTCCTTTCCCAACCATGCTGGGACACGGTCAGAACTGGCATTCTGCAGGGAAGAGTACCATTCACAGAAGCACCACCCCCACTTTCTGCAGAACGTGGGTGGTAATGTATTTTGAGGTTCCTCAGCTAAATATTAACTTAGCCCACTCCTCTTTAGCTTGTGAGCTGTACAATCTCAGGAGCTACTTACCTACTGTCTCTATCAAGGCTCTTTTATCAGGCCCATCACTACACTGTCAAAAACATAAGGTAGAGGGGGAGTTCATCAGGTACAGAACCTGCAAATTCCCCTCCAATTTCTTTTCTCCCATATTTGCTATCGTTTCATAGAGTTTAATGGCAGACGGGCCCATTAGATCATGTAGTCTGACCTTCTGTAAATCACAGGTCCTTAAACATAGGCGTGCACAGCCCATTTCATTAGGGTGTGCACCCAGGAAGCTCCGCCCTAGCCCCGCCCCCACCCTGCTCCCATCCACTCCCTCCTACTTCCCGCCCCCTGACTTCCCCTCTCAGAACCCCCAACCCCCCGTGCTCCTTGTCAACTCACTATCCCCTCCTGGGACACCTGCCCCAACTGCCCCCAGGACCCCACCCCCTATCTAAGCCTCCCTGCTCCTTGTCCCCTGACTGCCCACCTAGGACCTTAACTCCTACCTGTCCCCTGACTGCCCCAACCCTTATCCACACCCCTGCCCCCAGACAGACCCCTGGGACTCCCACGCCTATCCAACCGCTCCCCACACCCTGACAGGACCCCCAGAACTCCTGACTCATCCACCCCTCCCAGCTCCTTGTCCCTTGACCAACCTTGTCCAGAGACCCCCCCACCCTAACTGCCCTCCCAGGACCCTCCTTGCTTCCTGTCCCCTGACTGCCCTGACCCCTATCCAACCCCCCTGCTCCCTGACTGCCCCCTCCAGAGACCCCCCACCCCTAACCACCCCCCCCGGGATCCCACCCCCTATCCAACTCACCCTGCTCCCTGTCTGCCTCCACCCCTTATCCAACCCCCCTGGCCCCGGACCCCTTACCATGAGATGAGACTCCTAGCCTCCCCATGGAGCCAAACACTGCCCCGTGGGAGCGCGCAGCCCTGGCCCCCGAAGCGCTGCGTGCGTGGCGGCATGGCTCCAGGGAAGGGGGAAAGGCAGGGGACGGGCCAGCGGCTTGCTGTGTTTGGCCGGGTGCTCCGGCCCGGGAGCCAGACCCCGCGGCTTGCCGCGCCGGGAGACGGGGGCCATTTGCCCACCCCTGCATTAGGGTGTGCCTGGGCACACCCGGCACACCCTGTGCGCACACCTATGTCCTTAAATTTCACCCATTTAACCCTGTATGGAGCCCAGTAACTTGTATTTGGCTAAAGCATATCTTCCAGAAAGAGCATCCAGTCTTGACTGGAAGACATCAAAGGACGAAGACTAACTACAGCATGTACCACAGTCTCCTTAGGTTTTCTGTCCTAATCTTCGTGCATTTATTGTCTTCACTGGCACATCTTCCCCAGTTGCAAATTATAAAGCAGACTGTTTTCTTCAGACAGTGACTTCCCACCTGCGAATTTCAAAATCAGAACAAACTATTTCCTACTATTACTGAGAGCGGGAGGAACTTATGCTATGGCCCACTGTGAATGTAGGGGATGAAAGAGAGAGAAGTAACCTGCTGAGTTGACCGCAAGGTTCTTAATGTAAATTCTTCTGCAGTTCTACACTGTCTGCTTTGCACCTCATTACCCTTGTAGTGGCAGCTTCATAAACTAGCAAGAGATAAAGTAATAAATAACATCAGTATGAGTCAGGCACAGTGGAGGCAGAAGCTTGGAAAAGTTCCCCCTACTCACAGGGCCGGCTCCAGGCACCAGCCGACCAAGCACGTGCTTGGGGCGGCACCTTGGAAGGGGCGGCCAATCTTCGGGTGGCGGGGGGGCGCTTGGGGGTTTTTGTTTTTTTTTTGTTTCAGCGGCGCGGCCCTCGGGGTTTGGGCGGTGCGGCGTGGCGCTCAGGGGGGTGGGGGTTTTGGTGGCGCGGCGCTCGGGGGGGTTGTGCGGCCCAGTGCGGCGCTC